CCACGGCCGTGAGAAGGGACCGCCCGACTGTCCCACGGCCACACCAATGGGGACATGGCCATGAGAGGGGACCACGTAACGGGCCCATGGCCTTGAGAAGGGACCACCCGACCGTCCCACGGCCACGCCAACGGGGACACGGCCATGAGAGGGGACCACCTCACTGTCCCACGGCCACGCCAACGGGGACACGGCCATGAGAGGGGACCACGTAACGGGCCCATGGCCTTGAGAAGGGACCACCCGACCGTCCCACGTCCATAACAACGGGGACACGGCCATGAGAGGGGACCACCCAACTGTCCCACGGCCGTGAGAAAGGACCGCCCAACCGTCCCACGGCCACGCCAACGGGGACACGGCCATGAGAGGGGACCACGTAACGGGCCCATGGCCTTGAGAAGGGACCGCCCAACCGTCCCACGGCCACGCCAACGGGGACACGGCCATGAGAGGGGACCACCTCACTGTCCCACGGCCACGCCAACAGGGACACGATCATAAGAAGGGACCGCCCGACCGTCCCACGGCCACGCCAACAGGGACACGATCATAAGAAGGGACCGCCCGACCGTCCCACGGCCACGCCAACAGGGACACGATCATAAGAAGGGACCGCCCGACCGTCCCACGTCCATAACAACGGGGACACGGCCATGAGAGGGGACCACGTAACGGGCCCATGGCCTTGAGAAGGGACCACCCGACCGTCCCACGGCCACGCCAACAGGGACACGATCATAAGAAGGGACCGCCCGACCGTCCCACGTCCATAACAACGGGGACACGGCCATGAGAAGGGACCACCCGACCGTCCCACGTCCATAACAACGGGGACACGGCCATGAGAGGGGACCACGTAACGGGCCCATGGCCTTGAGAAGGGACCGCCCAACCGTCCCACGGCCACGCCAACGGGGACACGGCCATGAGAGGGGACCACCTCACTGTCCCACGGCCGTGAGAAAGGACCGCCCAACCGTCCCACGTCCATAACAACGGGGACACGGCCATGAGAAGGGACCACCCAACTGTCCCACGGCCGTGAAAAGGGACCACCCAACTGTCCCACGGCCGTGAAAAGGGAACACCCGACCGTCCCACGTCCATAACAACGGGGACACGGCCATGAGAAGGGACCACCCGACCGTCCCACGGCCACGCCAACAGGGACACGATCATAAGAAGGGACCGCCCGACCGTCCCACGGCCACGCCAACGGGGACACGGCCATGAGAGGGGACCACCCAACTGTCCCACAGCCTTGAAAAGGGACCACCCAACTGTCCCACGGCCGTGAGAAAGGACCACCCAACCGTCCCACGTCCATAACAACGGGGACACGGCCATCAGAGGGGAC